AATGTGTGCATATGCTGGGATCCTTTTTAAAAACTCTGCATAAGTGTGTGTGTGTGTGTGTGTGTGTGTGTGTGTGTGTGTGTGTGTGTGTGTGTGTGTGTGTGTGTGTGTGTGTGTGTGTGTGTGTGTGCTGTTTTTGTTTTTTTTTTTCTTTGTTTTGTTTTTGTTCTTTTCTTCTTCTTTTTTTTTTGTTTAAGAAAAAGGACAATTAACTTCATCAGACTCTTCAGCTCACGTCCTCAAGAGTTGACCAACCAAAGGTGGGAACCTTCTTCAAAGAAGATTGGGTCTATTTTGATAACTGAAAAAGGAAAAGGAAAAAATAACAACGTTGTTGAAAAATGTCAAAAGAAATAGGAGAGGAAGAAATGACACAGAGCATTATTTTTGTGCAAGTGGTATAGCAAATTCTTATTTTTAAAAAAGAAAAAAAAGCATTCTGGATGTTTCAGAGTGATTCAAGGAAGAGTTGAAACACAATGTGTCTTTTATTTTTTTGTGTAAAATATGCAAACTTTTATTTTTATTTTTTGATGTCTGTTGTTTGACATTCTATTTGCAGCAGCAGCAGTTTGTACAGATTTCAAAACTTTTTGCTGGTCTGATGTGTGGAGTCATTCTAACTGTGGGAGGCAAACCGTTTAAAGCTACTTCTTGTAACTGCTGCAGAGATTTCTATTCACACACGCATGAAAATAACATTGACTGTTCATAGTTTTTGTTTATTTAGACCATAACGGAACAAAAGACAATCGATTATTTATATTTATATTCAAATCATAGTTCTATTTTTTGGAGTTTTTAATCATTGAAGCGTACATTTATGAAAAAGAAGTTATTTAATGTTGTAGTCTTGAAAGACGAGCTAAAATGGACTTACAAATTTTGACATTACACACTAATGGATTCCCCAAAGTGACTCTTTTGGTTTTTGAAAACTTAGTGGCTTCCAGTCGAGTATTTATCAGCTAAACGAAACATCAAAGTGACTTGTGTTCATTTTGACAGTCATCCTGGTATATTAGATTGCAATCTCATCACATATTTTTGTCAATGAGTAGGCATGGGCTGACATCATGTTTATTGTTATTCAATTTTACAAAGTCACGGTTTCACAATCAGACGTCGAATTTTGATGCTAAGGGAAGGGCAGTTTTTCAGCATAGTGATCGCTGCAATAGGTGCATCATAACCATAAGTAGGAACACATTTTTAGCCTTTTTTGATAAAAGGCATTTAAAGTAGCTATTGTTTTAAAATGAAATTTAGCAATAAACATCCCGGTACAGTCAAGCTAACTCAGCAGCTAATGTCACTAATTAACTGGCTAACAATTGCTTGTCAGGCTCCCAATACATCTTGCTGCAAATTGAACATATTAGCCAAAAATCTGTTTAATTGATGGTATTACATTGAAACAAAACTCCACAAAAACAATATCCAAGTGTCCATTGGTGAATAAACGGCTATGTACAGTTTTGCTAACGTGACAGCTAACCTGGCTCATTAGCTAAAAATATTAGCTTTCCAGGCTCTCAACTTTTATTTATAAAGAGCCAAATGGCAGAAATTACATAGTTAGCATAGCGAATCCCCCAAGTTAGCATTTCCACATATAACTAACCAGCTAGCAGTAGTTTGTCAGACTCCCAGTGTAATCTTAGAAAGAGATGAATGGCTGGAAAAAAATATTGTAACACCACTGTGTTTATGTTAGGAATATCTAGATTTGATTAGCTCTTGTGTTTAGCTAACATGGGCTTTAAATTTCATCTTAGTACTTCAAACTTT